CATCAACATTCAACAAGAACAACAAACAAAAAAGTATATACATAATTGTATTTGAATGTCATCAATGTTGTGCTTATTTTTGTTATTTGCCTCTTGCGTTTCAAAGCAGATGCAATTTTAGGTGAAAGACAAAAATATCGCAATAATATCGTTATCGCAATACTAAGCACTCATATCGAATATAGGCGTACTTGGCGCAATGCATCATGGGAGCTCGTCCACTGCGCAGAACCGGGGGGACCAGATGATTTACAAATATTGGCGAGTTCTGCTAATCTTTCGGTCTCCGTGTATGTCCCATGCGCCACTGAGCACAAGCCATTCATTTGAATAGGCCGCCATCTTGGATCTTGGGCTTGATAATATCCTACACACATCAGACTCATTCTAAGCAGTGTGTGTGAGGCGGCTCCACCTTCAACATCTGTGAGAGTTTGGAGTTTTTTGAGGTCATTGTGGATGAGGTTCTTCGTTCTCTCTGAGGTTAATTCTTACCATGGTTCTTGGGAAAAAGCGTCCATTACAGTAAATTCCTGGGGCGTCTTGCAAGAACTGCACATTTACAGCTCAATTATGTTTTATAATAATCTTAAAACATATAAATACCTATATTTGTCAATAATTGGCTTCACACAACCACTTTCATCATCTCCACAATATGGTCAACATTCCTGCCTGAATTTGTATCAATCCCAACTGAGTCGTGAACTAGAGGTAGAAAAGGCAGTGGTCATATGTTCTAATACAGAGGTCATATGTTCTAATACACTGGTCATATGTTCTAATGCACTGGTCATATGTTCTAATACAGAGGTCATATGTTCTAATGCACTGGTCATATGTTCTAATACACTGGTCATATGTTCTAATGCACTGGTCATATGTTCTAATACAGAGGTCATATGTTCTAATATACTGGTCATAAGTTCTAATGCAGTGGTCATATGTTCTAATACACTGGTCATATGTTCTAATACACTGGTCATATGTTCTAATACAGAGGTCATATGTTCTAATACAGAGGTCCATCCATCCATCCATTTTCTACCCTTTAATCCATTTCTGGGTCAGGGGGGTGGCAGTCAGAGATGCCACCCAAGTCTCATAGCACCAGCCCCTCACTGACCCTCTGCAGGTGGTGAGTCCACAGGAGGAGCTGCTCTCTGAGTGTGAGCATAGCCTTGATCTTTCAGTGGGAGCTTTGGGCAAAGTGGGGTTAAGTGTCTTGCCCAAGGACACAACGACAGAAGTCATCAGTGGGAGTCGGTGGAGAAGGTGTAGAGGTGGGAATTGAACCCACGACCTTCAGGCCTGAAGGCCAATGCTCTACCAACTGAGCTACTGTCGCCCCAACTGAGCTACTGTCGCCCTTTAATACAGAGGTAATATGTTCTAATACACTGGTCGTATTTTCTAATGCAGAGGTCAGATGTTCTAATACACTGGTGATATGTTCTAATACAGTGGTCATATGTTCTAATGCAGTGGTCACATGTTCTAATACACTGGTCATATGTTCTAATGCAGTGGTCATATGTTCTAATGCAGTGGTCACATGTTCTAATGCACTGGTCATATGTTTTAATACACTGGTCACATGTTCTAATACAGAGATCATATGTTCTAATGCAGTGGTCACATGTTCTAATACAGAGGTCATATGTTCTAATACAGAGGTCATATGTTCTAATACAGAGGTCATATGTTCTAATACAGAGGTCATATGTTCTAATACAGAGATCATATGTTCTAATGCAGTGGTCATATGTTCTAATGCAGTGGTCACATGTTCTAATACACTGGTCATATGTTCTAATGCAGTGGTCATATGTTCTAATGCAGTGGTCACATGTTCTAATACACTGGTCATATGTTCTAATGCAGTGGTCATATGTTCTAATGCACTGGTCATATGTTTTAATACACTGGTCACATGTTCTAATACAGAGGTCATATGTTCTAATGCAGTGGTCATATGTTCTAATACAGAGGTCATATGTTCTAATACAGAGGTCATATGTTCTAATACAGAGGTCATATGTTCTAATACACTGGTCATATGTTCTAATACAGAGGTCATATGTTCTAATACAGAGGTCATATGTTCTAATGCACTGGTCATATGTTCTAATACAGAGGTCATATGTTTTAATACACTGGTCACATGTTCTAATACACAGGTCATATGTTCTAATACACTGGTCACATGTTCTAATGCAGTGGTCACATGTTCTAATACACTGGTCACATGTTCTAATACAGAGGTAATATGTTCTAATACAGAGGTCATATGTTCTAATGCAGAGGTCACATGTTCTAATACAGAGGTCACATGTTCTAATACAGTGGTCACATGTTCAAATACACTGGTCATTTGTTCTAATACACTGGTCATATGTTCTAATACAGAGGTCATATGTTCTAATACAGAGGTCATATGTTCTAATACAGTGGTCACATGTTTTAATGCAGTGGTCATATGTTCTAATACAGAGGTCATATGTTCTAATACACTGGTCAGATGTTCTAATACACTGGTCATATGTTCTAATACAGAGGTCATATGTTCTAATACAGATGTTCTAATACACTGGTCATATGTTCTAATACAGAGGTCATATGTTCTAATACAGAGGTCATATGTTCTAATGCAGTGGCCATATGTTCTAATGCAGTGGTCATATGTTCTAATACAGAGGTCATATGTTCTAATGCAGTGGTCATATGTTCTAATACAGAGGTCATATGTTCTAATACAGAGGTCATATGTTCTAATACAGAGGTCATATGTTCTAAAACACAGGTCATATGTTCTAATACACTGGTCATATGTTCTAATACAGAGGTCATATGTTCTAATACAGAGGTCATATGTTCTAATGCAGTGGTCATATGTTCTAATGCAGTGGTCATATGTTCTAATGCAGTGGTCATATGTTCTAATGCAGTGGTCACATGTTCTAATACAGAGGTCATATGTTCTAATACAGAGGTCATATGTTCTAATACAGAGGTCATATGTTCTAATACAGAGATCATATGTTCTAATGCAGTGGTCATATGTTCTAATGCAGTGGTCACATGTTCTAATACACTGGTCATATGTTCTAATGCAGTGGTCATATGTTCTAATGCAGTGGTCACATGTTCTAATACACTGGTCATATGTTCTAATGGTCATATGTTCTAATGCAGTGGTCATATGTTCTAATGCAGTGGTCATATGTTCTAATGCACTGGTCATATGTTTTAATACACTGGTCACATGTTCTAATACAGAGGTCATATGTTCTAATACACTGGTCACATGTTCTAATGCAGTGGTCACATGTTCTAATACACTGGTCACATGTTCTAATACAGAGGTAATATGTTCTAATACAGAGGTCATATGTTCTAATGCAGAGGTCACATGTTCTAATACAGAGGTCACATGTTCTAATACAGTGGTCACATGTTCAAATACACTGGTCATTTGTTCTAATACACTGGTCATATGTTCTAATACAGAGGTCATATGTTCTAATACAGAGGTCATATGTTCTAATACAGTGGTCATATGTTTTAATGCAGTGGTCATATGTTCTAATACAGAGGTCATATGTTCTAATACACTGGTCAGATGTTCTAATACACTGGTCATATGTTCTAATACAGAGGTCATATGTTCTAATACAGATGTCAGAGGTTCTAATACACTGGTCATATGTTCTAATACAGAGGTCATATGTTCTAATGCAGTGGTCATATGTTCTAATGCACTGGTCATATGTTTTAATACACTGGTCACATGTTCTAATACAGAGGTCATATGTTCTAATACACTGGTCACATGTTCTAATGCAGTGGTCACATGTTCTAATACACTGGTCACATGTTCTAATACAGAGGTAATATGTTCTAATACAGAGGTCATATGTTCTAATGCAGAGGTCACATGTTCTAATACAGAGGTCACATGTTCTAATACAGTGGTCACATGTTCAAATACACTGGTCATTTGTTCTAATACACTGGTCATATGTTCTAATACAGAGGTCATATGTTCTAATACAGAGGTCATATGTTCTAATACAGTGGTCATATGTTTTAATGCAGTGGTCATATGTTCTAATACAGAGGTCATATGTTCTAATACACTGGTCAGATGTTCTAATACACTGGTCATATGTTCTAATACAGAGGTCATATGTTCTAATACAGATGTCAGATGTTCTAATACACTGGTCATATGTTCTAATACAGAGGTCATATGTTCTAATACAGAGGTCATATGTTCTAATGCAGTGGCCATATGTTCTAATGCAGTGGTCATATGTTCTAATACAGAGGTCATATGTTCTAATGCAGTGGTCATATGTTCTAATACAGAGGTCATATGTTCTAATACAGAGGTCATATGTTCTAATACAGAGGTCATATGTTCTAATACACTGGTCATATGTTCTAATACAGAGGTCATATGTTCTAATACAGAGGTCATATGTTCTAATGCAGTGGTCATATGTTCTAATGCAGTGGTCATATGTTCTAATGCAGTGGTCATATGTTCTAATGCAGTGGTCAGGCCCCCTGCAGAGAGGAGACAGCCGGCCGTGTCCCCTCCCTCGTCACATCAGCACCTATTACACTTTGAAGAGGGGGATTAGAGCCCACAGCCACAGCGCTGCACCAGGACACTGTTTACTGTCAGCACAAGATTTATTAGCTCCACTTTGTAGGAGGAAGGTGAGGACAGCCTTGTTTACTGTGCCCGCCGCACGTGCACGCCACTATTGTGCAATGAAACAAAAGCCAGCGAGGGGATGGTCAGAGAGAGTGCAGAGACGAGGAGAGACGTTAGTCAGACTCGTGACTGGCCACTTGATCTTATTAGCAAGAGCGGACGTACTGTGGGTGTGGGTCTGAACAGGTACTACTGAGGTCAAATCAAACACGAGTCATTCACACAGAAAGAGCAATTCTGTGACTGTATAACTAATAATGGCTTCATTGATAAATCAGTCCATGTTTTCCTAAAAAGTTTGGAAATTCTTCATTGAGCTATTGATTGAGAATCAAAATGAGAAGCAGGAATTGTATTCAAGATTCAAGAATTCCTTTGCCGTTTGCAGTAAAACCACATTGGAAAAACTGTGCAAGACTCCCCCAGTGTGCACCAGACAGAAGATAGTACACACCAGAGTTCTTTCCACATCACAACAACTGCAGTTCCCAGGTCTCTGTATTGTAAAGTCCTCCCAGGCCCCAGTGGCTCTGCTTGTGTCCAGTCTGCTCTGTCCGTCTCTGTCCTATGGTCTCTCTCTGTTCATAAATAAGATAACCTTGAGCTTTCTTTGGGAAAAACAAGTGAATATCAATCCAGAAAATGCTAGTAGTTATTTAGTATATCTCGTGCTATAATCTTTTACTGTTGCATATTATGTGAAAACAAATGCTTCCTTATTCCATTTGCATGTTAAATTCAAAGCAAAGACAATCCAATCTTATTGCCGGCTTTGATGTTTCCCAAACACTGGTGGCCGCTATGCTGAGCAGAAGTCATGTGAATGATTTCCTCTGGGTTTATCAGGTTACCTTGTTAGCCTGGGACACACGCTGGTCTCAGACTGCACCTCCAGAGGCCACGCTCCGTCCTGCGTCTGCATCTTTTACATTTGTGAAGGAAAAGAACTCTTCTTTCCTCTGCCACGCACACTATCAGCTCTGAGGCGATTAGCCGACAGACTGATGACAAGTGAGAGGAGCCAACATGGCTGCCCAGGCCTGCAGTTTCCACTTGACTGGGCTGAAGAGGTGGCTGTCGCTGATAAGGCTCAGAGATAACGGCACAAGAACTGGTTTGGTTCAGGACGTACTACACAAAGTATTGAAGTGAACATAAAAATGACACAAATAAATCTACTAAACACATAAATATTGTAGATTAAACTTCTTCTAAAGTCTGACCTCAAACCACATGCAGACCTCAGCATAAACAAGGATTTGTAGAAGGGAATCAGATGATGGGAGAAATGTGATGCACAGTGTGTTGCCTTATTATAAATGAATGTGAAGTTGTTGTAATTAACAGTAGTCATAGAGAACAAATGGTGAAGCAGATATTAACAGACATTTTCATTAGCTCCGGAGCTCCAGGTGTAGTGTAACTGTCCCTGTCGCAGCAGTAAACACACGTGTCTCGTTCTGTTTGTTGTGGAAATGTTCTTCTGCTGATGGATGGCATCGCCACGGCAACACACATTGACACCAATGAGAACAGCACACTGATCATTACCTCTGGCCAGGAGGTAAAGTGTTCAGTGTGTGTTTGTCTGTCTGTCTGTGTGTGTGTGTGTCTACGTCTGTGGTCTGTGTGTGTGTGTCTGTCTGTCTCTGTCTGTGTGTGTGTGTGTCACTGAGCCTGTGTGTGTCTGTGCAGGTGTGTGTGTGTGTGTGTCTGTGTGTGTGCCTGTATGTGTGTGAGCCTGTGTCTCTGTATGTGTGTGTGTGTGTGTGTGTGTGTGTGTGTGTGTGTGTGTGTGTGTGTGTGTGTGTGTGTGTGTGTGTGTGTGTGTGTGTGTGTGTGTGTGTGTGTGTGTGTGTGTGTGTGTGTGTGTGTGTGTGTGAGCACTCTCAGAGTTAATACTGCAGGACAAGATGTTAAAATTGAGAGACAAAAGCCTCAACAACATTCTGTAGTGGGCACAGGAAGCTACTGCACTTGATAGATCAACAATACAAACATAAAAAAACATTATTCTTCACTATTAGCTGATATGAAAGGGCTGTGAGTGCATCATGGTCTGATCCAGGGCTTAAGGCTCTACACTCTACTGTTGGATTAACTAATAACTCAATGTATATCAAAGGTTGATCCATCCACATTGTGACACAACCATAGACTGTAAATATTAACAGAGGTAGTCACGACCATCTCTGCTGTCCAAACTAATGTGCCACCACTTTTGGCTTTTGTGCGCTTTTTCAAAATGGCCGCTGGGGCAGGAAAATGTGAAAAAAACATGCGTAGCTGCACTAGCCCCATTCATGTGACGAGTGCGTTCAAAAGTCCACAGCGGCTAAACAAGACTGGTCCAAAAAATACACTCCCCTCAGCATTGATACACAACTGGAACGTTGCTTTGGGCCAAGAGCGACTTCAGGACCATCCTGTAAAGACGTCGAGAGGAAAGAAGACGCCATACAAAAGCATTGGGTAATTCTCTTTCCGGGTACACCCCCACCAGCCTGGAGTGGCATTGCAAGCATGTCATCGCACGTGCTCATGGACCTTTTGGAGTCGGGAGCCGCCCCCACTGGACACAACATGGCCTAGAAATGACCCAAAATCTAATATAGACTTAAACCAGGACAAGACATAAGTCACTGTCCTTCAAAGAGAGATATAAAGCCAAATATGCCGAGAATGATGCGCACATGTGTTTCAAACTCTGACTCAGCAGTGACAATACTCTTCATATCCTGCTGCTCCCACCACAGTGTCCTGTCTCTGGGCCCTCATCACCTCCTCATAACAGAAGACAAGAGAGGAGCGGACAGAGGCGCAGGGCGGGAGGGCGGCTGCTGCATTCCTGCTCCTGGGACATGTTGAAGTTTGCCCCCTTTGGCTCCGTGACTGATCTCTGAGCGACAGAGGACGGTGTGTAAGGTCGGAGCACAGGAAATACAAAATACACCGTTGTAAAGTCATAAAAGTAACATTCTACTTAAGTGTGAGTCAGAAGGCTGGGCTCAGATAAACATCAGGGAGAGAGGTGTGACTGAGAAAGACCACGGATTCTATAGTGTCAATATTCCACCTGGATATTAAGTGGAAATCCAAGAGAAAAAGGTGTTGGTTTTGGACTGTTTCCATAGTAACATGCAAATACAACTACAGAAATACAATTTAGATCTTTTGAATAGGTCCACAAACTTTGAATAACCATGAAGAGAATAACAAAATTAAGTTGAAGTGGTAAAAAAATCAAGGATCAAAAAAGTTGGTCGAAACAGACACACATTTATCAACTTTGCGGTGACAGTGGCAGAGACGCTGTGGCTGTCATATATGAACCTGCAGCTGAGGATCTACTGTAGATCTGGAACCAAGCGTTATTTGAATAAAGTACTAAATAATCTATAGTCTATTACGATATAAAAGGAATCTGGCCAAAACTTTCATTAAAACAGAAATATATGAAAGAAATTGGGACAAAGAAAGTCATGAGTAAAACAATAAGTCTATATTGGTCATACGTCCATGGGCCACTTCAGACACTGACCCAGACATTGAAAGCAGATCTGGCAGATCTCAGGTTGGGCTCAGAGAAGACAGAGGAGAGGGAGACGAGAGTATGGGAGAGGGGGGGAAGAGGTGGGAGAGAGGAGGGAGATGGGGATGAGAGAGAGGAGAGAGGATGAGGGTCTATTCAAGAGGAACCACTTCCTGCGGCACCGTTGCTACTTTTCCACTTCAGAACCAGAACATGTGAAGACAGACCTGAACTGGTCCAGAGCCACTCTGTCTCACACAGACGTGAAAACTCATCAGGGACATATTTGTGTCTAGCTCAAAAAAACAACAACGTTCTCCTCTGAGGACTTTGTGAAATAGTCGATTTGCCAACAACAGATCAGAGAATGAAACCGTGTATTTGTAGCCTGGCCTTATCCATCCGTACTCTCCGCTCAATCATCATTTCCTGCAAGTAACGTCTGGGTCTGGTCCCTGTGTTAGCGATTACAATCGGTTGAATTTCGACCGACCAATCAGCGAGCGCGGAAGGAGAGTTGTATTTTTTTGTGGGTGACATCAAGAGTCTGCGTCGAACGGGAAGGTTGTAGTTTGGTAATGGCGAAAAATGCGATAGTAAAGTAATCCGGTCTGGTTCTATCAAGAAATTGAAGCCGGAGCAAGAGGAATGTTTAGCAAATGTAATCGCTGGCAAAGATTGTGGCGCTACTCCCCACGGGCTCCGTTAGCAGCAAAGGAGATGGCTAAAGCTAGGCTAAATGCTAAATGCTAATGACAGACTCGGGCGCATTACATACGTCACTGTAAACTCAGATCCAATCGTTTCAATCTGTAAAAGGAGTTAGCCCCTCCCACCTGTTAACGGAGTCAATGGACCAAATCCAGAACTTAGTACGAAATGTAATTTGTACTATGGTGTGGTACGACCAGGCTAGTGTATTCGTGAATAAAATCTTGTTGTGTTCCCTGTGCTTCTTGTGGGAGGAGCAGAGAATTATGGCATTTTAAGGTGAATCAGTCCGATTATGTCTCCATAGAAAGTACTCCTTAGACATGCAGGAATCTACCCTTTTATCTTCATTTGTTGAATTGGTGCTTGTGGCCAAAGCCGGATCTCACCAGGCCAGATTAGTACAGATACACTGGGAATTCAGCTTGCAACCCAAGGCTAGAGTGGGAAAGCTGTGACTAAAAAGTGTAGGTCATCATTGTGTCTTTGGGCAGACACCCAGAATGTCTAATATGGATTTGGAGTGAGCGTGATGGAACAGATTGGCAGCTTCACTTCCATCAGTCGATCCAGCTGCACAGAGGAAGTTACCAGCATTCAAAGGGACGTAAACACTGTCTGACTTCAAACACAGCACTGTCTTCTTCATAAGGAACACTTTAACAACATGGACATTTATCAACATTCGGGGACATTTATCAACTCTCCATCGACCAATATCATGTGTTCTATATTGTGTTTGGACTGTTAGATTTTTTGATAAGCCCTTCTGAGATAACTACTGTTGTGATTTAGGGCGATACAAGAATAAATGGAATTGAATTGAACAATGCTCATTTGGACAGAGTCACTTCCTCACAGACTCAGACTCACTGTGGTCCCATCACTGCAGAGAGGCTGTGTTCTGATGAAGAGGGATGTGCCATAAAAACAGTCCATGAGGAGCAGATGATGCAGCAGCTCCTGAGCTCTCTGGGTCTGGGCCTGGGTCTGGGCCTGGGTCTGGTCCTGGTCCTGGATCTGATCCTGGACCATGGTCTGGTCCTGATCCTGGGTCTGGGTCTGGTCCTGGATCTGTGCCTGGTCCTGATCCTGGGTCTTGGTCTAGTCCTTGGTCTGGGTTTGGGCCTGTGTCTGGTCCCGTGTCTGGTCCCGTGTCTGGTCCTGGGTCTGGATCTGGTTCTGGTCCTGTGCATGGTTCTAGTCCTGGTCCTGGTCCTGATCCTAGCCCTTGGTCTGGGTATGGGTATGGGTTTGGGTCTGTGTCTGGGTCTGGTCCTGTTCCTGTGTTTGGTCCTGTGTCTGATCCTGGTCCTGGCCCTGGGTCTGAATCTAGGTCTGGTCCTGTGCCTGGGTCTGGTCCTGATCCTGGTCCTGTGCCTGGGTCTAGTCCTGGTCCTGGTCCTGGGACACAGCCTCCTGTCAGCCAGACTCCAGCTCCATCATAATCCTAATTCCCTCCTGCAGCTGTGGCCTCAACACAGTTCTACAAATCACACCTTCATTAGAGAAAGCTCCACATTTTTCTCTCCGTTAAAAGCCTTCGCAGACAAACAAGAACGGGCAGAGTACGCGGCTCTCCGGCATGTTTCCCTTCAGAGTAATGTAGTGTTATTTGCTGAGTATTTATCTTCATATACGGACGAGTGGGAACAGGATGAAACAGAACAGAACGGCGCTCAGTCTTCGGCCTCGGAGGTAAATATTGCAAACATTAAACAAGAAAAGAAGTGTGCGACGTGTGGCACTAAAGGAGTTATTTCTAGAGCTTGGATATGAGCCTTAAAGGGGCAGTACGCCAGTTTGTTAGCTTAGCCATTAGCTTAGCACAAAAAGGAAACCACTCCCCCCTCCCCTCCCTCTCCACCAAACCAAACATCCAGCATTTTCTTTTCTTTCTCACAACAGGGAGAGTGGGCGGTAAACGTGAAATTTACAATTTCTGTTCAGCCCTTTCAGGTTTTAGAAAATCCGATAACTCAGACGCACTCGCGAAAAACAGGAAGAGGTTGAAGGGGGTAGACGCATCCCATTGGTTCGTTGGGGATGAACGAATCCATTGGTTAATTTTTATCCGTCCGCTCCAAAATATGTTTTAATCATTTTGGGAGACTATAGGCATCTGGTCAATTCCATTACTATTTGAAAACACATGAAAACTTAGTGACGTTTTCCCACAATATTTAAAAAAATGTGTCGGGAAAAGAATCCCTGACTGCAGCTTTAAGTGTGGTATTGGAGCAGCAGCAGTGATGGATGGGCTCTGCTGATAAGTCCAGATAACTTGTTTGTGTCAGGGGTGTGGCTGTGGCTCCAGGCTCAGAGAACTCTCCTGTGGTTTAGCTTACAGCCAGTGGGAAACAGAATACTACTTTCTCCTATCTCTGTATCAACACACAATCATCTGCGGCATCTCAAGCAAATGATAGTATACAGACATTTGCTGGGTTTTTTTACTCTGTGAAAATGCATCCCTGCAGGCCTCGTCGTCTCAGTCAGAGGGAACGAGAAGTAACACGCACAGACAAGATATTCTGGCCCCGGGAGCGACTGGAGTGGAGAGGTGTGGAGAAGACATACGACTGACTGCTTCATTTGGTTAGTATTAAATCGCTCACAGTTTTTATAGAGTGTGTTTGAATCGTGTGGCCGCTGTCCTCGTTCTACAGCCTGAGTCCTGGATCTACAGCCTCACTCCTGGATCTACAGCCTCAGTCCTGGATCTACAGCCTCAGTCCTGGATCTACAGCCTCAGTCCTGGATCTACAGCCTCAGTCCTGGATCTACAGCCTCACTCCTGGATCTACAGCCTCAGTCCTGGATCTACAGCCTCAGTCCTGGATCTACAGCCTCAGTCCTGGATCTACAGCCTCAGTCCTGGATCTACAGCCTCAGTCCTGGATCTACAGCCTCAGTCCTGGATCTACAGCCTCAGTCCTGGATCTACAGCCTCAGTCCTGCATCTACAGCCTCAGTCCTGGATCTACAGCCTCAGTCCTGGATCTACAGCCTCAGTCCTGGATCTACAGCCTCAGTCCTGGATCTACAGCCTCAGTCCTGCATCTACAGCCTCAGTCCTGGATCTACAGCCTCAGTCCTGGATCTACAGCCTCAGTCCTGGATCTACAGCCTCAGTCCTGGATCTACAGCCTCAGTCCTGGATCTACAGCCTCAGTCCTGGATCTACAGCCTCAGTCCTGGATCTACAGCCTCAGTCCTGGATCTACAGCCTCAGTCCTGGATCTACAGCCTCAGTCCTGGATGTACAGCCTGAGTCCTAGATCTAAAGCCTCAGTCCTGGATCTACAGCCTGAGTCCTGGATCTACAACCTCAGTCCTGGATCTACAGCCTGAGACCTGGATCTACAGCCCGTCCGTCGATGAGCGTGGATCCCTCTCTCATTGTGGGCCTCCCCAAAGTCTCTCACTCTCTTACCCGAGTTGTTCCTTTGTCGATGCAGGAGAGTCTAATGGCAGTGGTGATGATCCAGGACACTCAACGACATTTATGGACTTGATCAACATTTATGAACATTGGTCTCTGTCCCTAATGGACCAATATCGCTGTGTGTTTAATAATCATTGCATTTTCTGTGTTTGAACTGCTTGATTCTCTGATCTGTGTTGGCAAATTGACATCTTTCTAAAGTACTTTGAGATAACTTGATAAATTGTATTGAATTGAAATGAATAGTTTGTGTGTTTTAACATCAGCCTATAAATCCATGATGTGTTTATTGCACAATTTCTGATTGTGGGGAAAATCTGGAGAAGTTTTGCAGTAAATATGACAATAGCTCCTTTGTTTATTACAGGCTGTAGCACCTTAATGGATTAGACGCGACTCTGGGTAAGTGCTTGTTGAAATTGTTGTCAACTGTTTTATTTGATTGTAATTGAGACACAACAGGCTGTGACTCCAACAGAGCTGTAGATACTGTAGCAGGAGAGACTAATGTGTAAAAGGTATTTTCTCATCAAACAGCCATTTACTCTGTTCCCAAGTGGCACTTTTGTCACTTCAGTCAAATGCATTATTATATAACCGTAATGTCACGTTTCACTGTAACCATAAACCAACAGGCTAAAACTGCAGGGAAGTGTATTATGTGACAGAAGTGAGCTGAGCAGGGGCTGTTTCTGCTCTGGGACTCGGAGCACGAACATTCTCTGATCTCACACTCACAGAAGCACGCCACACGCCTCTCTATGACCACACGCCTCACTATGATCACACGCCTCACTATGACCATGACCACACGCCTCGATATGACCATGACCACACGCCTCACTATGACCACATGCCTCACTATGACCACACGCCCCACTATGACCACACGCCTCACTATGACCATGACCCCACGCCTCACTATGACCACGCGCCTCAATATGAACACACACCACACGCCTCACTATGACCACACGCCTCACTATGACCACACGCCTCACTATGACCACACGCCTCACTATGACCACACGCCCCACTATGACCACACGCCTCACTATGACCATGACCCCACGCCTCACTATGACCACACGCCTCACTATGACCACACGCCTCACTATGACCACACGCCTCAATATGACCACACGCCTCACTATGACCACACGCATCAATATGACCACACTCCTCACTATGACCACACGCCTCACTATGACCACACGCCTCAATATGACCACACGCCTCACTATGACCACACGCCTTGATATGACCACACGCCTCACCACACGCCTCACTATGACCACACGCCTCACTATGACCACACGCCTCAATATGACCACACGCCTCACTATGACCACACGCCTTGATATGACCACACGCCTCACTATGACCACACGCCTCGATATGACCACACACCTCACTATGACCACGCGCCTCAATATGAACACACACCACACGCCTCACTATGACCACACGCCTCAATATGAACACACACCACACGCCTCACTATGACCACACGCCTCAATATGACCACACGCCTCACACGCCTCACTATGACCACACGCCTCAATATGACCACACGCCTCAATATGAACAGACACCACACGCCTCAATATGACCACACGCCTCACTATGACCACACGCCTCAATATGACCACACGCCTCACTATGACCACACGCATCAATATGACCACACGCCTCAATATGACCACACGCCCACACAACCCACTATGACCACAAGCCTCACGCATCAATATGACCACACGCCCCACTATGACCACACGCATCAATATGACCACACGCCTCACTATGACCACACGCATCAATATGACCACACGCCTCAATATGACCACACGCCCCACTATGACCACACACCTCACTATGACCACGCGCCTCAATATGAACACACACCACACGCCTCACTATGACCACACGCCTCAATATGAACACACACCACACGCCTCACTATGACCACACGCCTCAATATGAACACACACCACACGCCTCACTATGACCACACGCCTCAATATGACCACACGCCTCACGCCTCACTATGACCACACGCCTCAATATGACCACACGCCTCAATATGAACAGACACCACACGCCTCAATATGACCACACGCCTCACTATGACCACACGCCTCAATATGACCACACGCCTCACTATGACCACACGCATCAATATGACCACACGCCTCAATATGACCACACGCCCCACTATGACCACACGCCTCAATATGACCACACGCCCCACTATGACCACACGCCTCACTATGACCACGCGCCTCAATATGAACACACACCACACGCCTCACTATGACCACACGCCTCAATATGACCACACGCCTCACGCCTCACTATGACCACACGCCTCAATATGACCACACGCCTCACGCCTCACTATGACCACACGCCTCAATATGAACAGACACCACACGCCTCAATATGACCACACGCCTCACTATGACCACACGCCTCAATATGACCACACGCCTCACTATGACCACACGCATCAATATGACCACACGCATCAATATGACCACACGCCCCACTATGACCACACGCCTCACTATGACCACACGCCTCAATCAATCAATCAATCAAATTTTATTTATAAAGTGCTTTTCATACAAAAGATGCAACACAAAGTGCTTTACAGTTTGGTTAAAAACAATCCCGCCGACCCAAGACCCCTCCCCCAGACCACCCAACAGACCCACCCCAAACCACAGACAAACACACACACGCACTCATGAACACTCATACACACACACACACACACACACACACACATACACACACACCAGTAAAACAATAAAACCATGATGAGAGACGTGGCAGGGTTCAGATGCAACCAGCTGAAAAAGCGTCATCCAAGGAGCCGTCTGCACCAGGAGCAGAGAGCCGCCCGTAGCCACAGGGGACGACACAGGACCCAGGCCCCCACCAGGCCCAAGAGTCTGACCCCCGCAGCCACACCGACCACTTCTCCCAGTGCAGAGGGCTCCTCCAGAGGAAACACTGGGTACACTAAAAACAATACAATAAGTAAAACACTAAAATGTGAGACTAAAAGGAACACACAATACATGAATAATAGCAATAGCAATATAATAAATAATAAATAATAAAAGATAAATAGAATGGAATAATAAAAACTAATCAAAAGATAATCTAAAAAAGTGTGTCTTGAGCCTACTTTTAAAAATATGAACGTTCTCTGCGGCCCTGAGCTCCTCCTCAGACTGTTCCAGAGACGGGGGCCGTAGTGCTGGAAAGATGCCTCGCCGTGAGTGTGTGTCCTGACTTTGGGGATGGTTAGGAGTCTGCTGCCGGAGGAGCGCAGGGGCCGGGAAGGTTCATAGGATTGACCACACGCCTCAATATGACCACACGCCTCACTATTTTTCAGCGGGAGCTTCAGGCAATGTGGGATTAAGTGTCTTGCCCAAGGACACAACAACAGCAGGGTGGGAGCAGGTCCTGTGATGGGCCAGTTCAGACCCACGACCTTCCGCCCCAATGGCCAATCCTCTGCCAACTGAGCTACTGTCGCCCCTGAGCTCCTGTCCATCCTGACAAACAAAACAAATGAATTGCTAATTCTAAAAAGCTGGTTATAGTGAGGCGTGTGGTCATGTTGAGGCGTGTGGTCATGTTGAGGCGTGTGGTCATAGTGAGGCGTGTGGTCATGTTGAGGCGTGTGGTCATGTTGAGGCGTGTGGTCATATTGAGGCGTGTGGTCATGTTGAGGCGTGCGGTCATAGTGAGGCATGTGGTCATGTTGAGGCGTGCGGTCATATTGAGGCGTGTGGTCATGTTGAGGCGTGCGGTCATATTGAGGCGTGTGGTCATGTTGAGGCGTGCGGTCATATTGAGGCATGTGGTCATGTTGAGGCGTGTGGTCATATTGAGGCGTGTGGTGAGGCGTGTGGTCATAGTGAGGAGTGTGGTCATGTTGAGGCGTGTGGTCATAGTGAGGCGTGTGGTGAGGCGTGTGGTCATAGTGAGGAGTGTGGTCATGTTGAGGCGTGTGGTCATAGTGAGGCGTGTGGTGAGGCGTGTGGTCATAGTGAGGAGTGTGGTCATGCTGAGGCGTGTGGTCATAGTGAGGCGTGTGGCCATAGTGAGGCGTGTGGTGAGGCGTGTGGTCATAGTGAGGCGTGTGGCCATAGTGAGGCGTGTGGTCATAGTGAGGCGTGTGGCCATAGTGAGGAGTGTGGTCATGTTGAGGCGTGTGGTCATAGTGAGGCGTGTGGCCATAGTGAGGCGTGTGGTGAGGCGTGTGGTCATAGTGAGGAGTGTGGTCATGCTGAGGCGTGTGGCCATAGTGAGGCGTGCGGTCACAGTGAGGCGTGTGGTCATAGTGAGGCGTGCGGTCATGTTGAGGCGTGTGGTCATAGTGAGGCGTGCGGTCATGTTGAGGCGTGTGGTCATAGTGAGGCGTGTGGCCATAGTGAGGCGTGCGGTCACAGTGAGGCGTGCGGTCATGTTGAGGCGTGTGGTCATAGTGAGGCGTGTGGCCATAGTAAGGCGTGCGGTCATAGTGAGGCGTGCGGTCATGTTGAGGCGTGTGGTCATAGTGAGGCGTGTGGCCATAGTGGGGCGTGTGGCCATAGTCAGGCGTGTGGTCATAGTGAGGCGTGTGGTCATAGTGAGGCGTGTGGCCATAGTGAGGCGTGTGGCCATAGTCAGGCGTGTGGTCATAGTGAGGCGTGTGGTGAGGCGTGTGGTCATAGTGAGGCATGTGGTCATAGTGAGGCGTGTGGTGAGGCGTGTGGTCATAGTGAGGCGCGTGGTCATAGTGAGGCGTGTGGTGAGGCGTGTGGTCATAGTGAGGCGTGTGGTCATAGTGAGGCATGTGGTCATAGTGAGGCGTGTGATTGAGGCGTGTGGTGAGGCGTGTGGTCATAGTGAGGCGTGTGGTCATGTTGAGGCGTCGTTGTGTGGTCATGGTGAGGCGTGTGGTCATGTTGAGGCGTGTGATTGAGGCGTGTGGTCATAGTGAGGCGTGTGGCCATAGTGAGGCGTGTGGCCATAGTGAGGCGTGTGGTGAGGCGTGTGGTCATAGTGAGGTGTGTGGTCATGTTGAGGTGTGTGGCCATAGTGAGGCGTGTGGTGAGGCGTGTGGTCATAGTGAGGTGTGTGGTCATGTTGAGGCGTGTGGTCATAGTGAGGTGTGCGGTCATAGTGAGGCGTGTGGTCATGTTGAGGCGTGTGATTGAGGCGTGTGGTCATAGTGAGGCATGTGGTGAGGCGTGTGGTCATGTTGGGGCGTGTGGTCATAGTGAGGCGTGTGGTCATGTTGAGGCGTGTGGTCATAGTGAGGCGTGTGGCCATAGTGAGGCGTGTGGTCATAGTGAGGCGTGTGGTCATAGTGAGGCGTGTGGTCATGTTGAGGCGTGTGGTCATAGTGAGGCGTGTGGTCATGTTGAGGCGTAGGCGTGTGGTCATGGTGAGGCGTGTGGTCATGTTGAGGCGTGTGATTGAGGCGTGTGGTCATAGTGAGGCGTGTGGTCATAGTGAGGTGTGTGGCCATAGTGAGGCGTGTGGCCATAGTGAGGCGTGTGGTGAGGCGTGTGGTCATAGTGAGGTGTGTGGTCATGTTGAGGCGTGTGGTCATAGTGAGGTGTGTGGCCATAGTGAGGCGTGTGGTGAGGCGTGTGGTCATAGTGAGGTGTGTGGTCATGTTGAGGCGTGTGGTCATAGTGAGGTGTGTGGCCATAGTGAGGCGTGAGGTCATAGTGAGGCGTGTGGTCATGTTGAGGCGTGTGATTGAGGCGTGTGGTCATAGTGAGGCATGTGGTGAGGCGTGTGGTCATGTTGAGGCGTGTGGTCATAGTGAGGCGTGTGGTCATGTTGAGGCGTGTGGTCATAGTGAGGCGTGTGGCCATAGTGAGGCGTGTGGCCATAGTGAGGCGTGTGGTCTTAGTGAGGCGTGTGGTCATAGTGAGGCGTGTGGTCATGTTGAGGCGTGTGGCCATAGTGAGGCGTGCGGTCATAGTGAGGCGGGTGGTCATAGTGAGGCGTGTGGTCATAGTGAGGCGTGTGGTCATAGTGAGGCGTGTGGTCATGTTGAGGCGTGTGATTGAGGCGTGTGGTCATAGTGAGGCATGTGGTGAGGCGTGTGGTCATAGTGAGGCGTGTGGTCATGTTGAGGCGTGTGGTCATAGTGAGGCGTGTGGTCATAGTGAGGCGTGTGGCCATAGTGAGGCGTGGTGGTCATAGTAAGGCGTGTGGTGAGGCGTGTGGTCATAGTGAGGCGTGTGGTCATAGTGAGGCGCGTGGTGAGGCGTGTGGTCATAGTAAGGCGTGTGGTCATGTTGAGGCGTAGGCGTGTGGTCATAGTGAGGCGTGTGGTCATAGTGAGGCGTGTGGTGAGGCGTGTGGTCATAGTGAGGCGTGTGGTGAGGCGTGTGGTCATGTTGAGGCATGTGGTCATAGTGAGGCGTGTGGTCGTAGTGAGACGTGTGGTCATGTTGAGGCGTGTGGTCATAGTGAGGCGTGTGGTCATGTTGAGGCGTGTGGTCATAGTGAGGCGTGTGGTCATGTTGAGGCATGTGGTCATAGTGAGGCGTGTGGTCATAGTGAGGCGTGTGGTCATAGTGAGGCGTGTGGTCACAGTGAGGCGTGTGGTCATAGTGAGGCGTGTGGTCATGTTGAGGCATGTGGTCATAGTGAGGCGTGTGGTCATGTTGAGGCGTGTGGTCATAGTGAGGCGTGTGGTCATGTTGAGGCGTAGGCGTGTGGTCATAGTGAGGCGTGTGTGGTAATGTTGAGGCGTGTGGTCATGTTGAGGCATGTGGTCATGTTGAGGCATGTGGTCATGTTGAGGCATGTGGCCATAGTGAGGCGTGTGGTCATGTTGAGGCGTGTGGTCATGTTGAGGCGTAGGCGTGTGGTCATAGTGAGGCGTGTGGTCATGTTGAGACATGTGATTGAGGCATGTGGTCATAGTGAGGCATGTGGTCATAGTGAGGCATGTGGTCATGGTGAGGCATGTGGTCATAGTGAGGCGTGTGGTCATGTTGCGGCGTGTAGTCATAGTGAGGCGTGTGGTCATAGTGAGGCGTGTGGTGAGGCGTGTGGTCATGTTGAGGCGTAGGCGTGTGGTCATAGTGAGGCGTGTGGTAATGTTGAGGCGTGTGGTCATAGTGAGGTGTGTGGCCATAGTGAGGCGTGCGGTCATAGTGAGGCGTGTGGTCATGTTGAGGCGTGTGATTGAGGCGTGTGGTCATAGTGAGGCATGTGGTGAGGCGTGTGGTCATGTTGAGGCGTGTGGTCATAGTGAGGCGTGTGGTCATGTTGAGGCGTGTGGTCATAGTGAGGCGTGTGGCCATAGTGAGGCGTGTGGCCATAGTGAGGCGTGTGGTCTTAGTGAGGCGTGTGGTCATAGTGAGGCGTGTGGTCATGTTGAGGCGTGTGGCCATAGTGAGGCGTGCGGTCATAGTGAGGCGGGTGGTCATAGTGAGGCGTGTGGTCATAGTGAGGCGTGTGGTCATAGTGAGGCGTGTGGTCATGTTGAGGCGTGTGATTGAGGCGTGTGGTCATAGTGAGGCATGTGGTGAGGCGTGTGGTCATAGTGAGGCGTGTGGTCATGTTGAGGCGTGTGGTCATAGTGAGGCGTGTGGTCATGTTGAGGCGTGTGGTCATAGTGAGGCGTGTGGTCATAGTAAGGCGTGTGGCCATAGTGAGGCGTGTGGTCATAGTGAGGCGTGTGGTGAGGCGTGTGGTCATAGTGAGGCGCGTGGTGAGGCGTGTGGTCATAGTAAGGCGTGTGGTCATGTTGAGGCGTAGGCGTGTGGTCATAGTGAGGCGTGTGGTCATAGTGAGGCGTGTGGTGAGGCGTGTGGTCATAGTGAGGCGTGTGGTGAGGCGTGTGGGTCATGTTGAGGCATGTGGTCATAGTGAGGCGTGTGGTCGTAGTGAGACGTGTGGTCATGTTGAGGCGTGTGGTCATAGTGAGGCGTGTGGTCATGTTGAGGCGTGTGGTCATAGTGAGGCGTGTGGTCATGTTGAGGCATGTGGTCATAGTGAGGCGTGTGGTCATAGTGAGGCGTGTGGTCATAGTGAGGCGTGTGGTCATGTTGAGGCGTGTGGTCATAGTGAGGCGTGTGGCCATAGTGAGGCGTGTGGTCATGTTGAGGCGTGTGGTCATAGTGAGGCGTGTGGCCATAGTGAGGCGTGTGGCCATAGTGAGGCGTGTGGTCTTAGTGAGGCGTGTGGTCATAGTGAGGCGTGTGGTCATGTTGAGGCGTGTGGCCATAGTGAGGCGTGCGGTCATAGTGAGGCGGGTGGTCATAGTGAGGCGTGTGGTCATAGTGAGGCGTGTGGTCATGTTGAGGCGTGTGATTGAGGCGTGTGGTCATAGTGAGGCATGTGGTGAGGCGTGTGGTCATAGTGAGGCGTGTGGTCATGTTGAGGCGTGTGGTCATAGTGAGGCGTGTGGTCATGTTGAGGCGTGTGGTCATAGTGAGGCGTGTGGTCATAGTGAGGCGTGTGGCCATAGTGAGGCGTGTGGTCATAGTGAGGCGTGTGGTGAGGCGTGTGGTCATAGTGAGGCGTGTGGTCATAGTGAGGCGCGTGGTGAGGCGTGTGGTCATAGTAAGGCGTGTGGTCATGTTGAGGCGTAGGCGTGTGGTCATAGTGAGGCGTGTGGTCATAGTGAGGCGTGTAGTGAGGCGTGTGGTCATAGTGAGGCGTGTGGTGAGGCGTGTGGTCATGTTGAGGCATGTGGTCATAGTGAGGCGTGTGGTCGTAGTGAGACGTGTGGTCATGTTGAGGCGTGTGGTCATAGTGAGGCGTGTGGTCATGTTGAGGCGTGTGGTCATAGTGAGGCGTGTGGTCATGTTGAGGCATGTGGTCATAGTGAGGCGTGTGGTCATAGTGAGGCGTGTGGTCATAGTGAGGCGTGTGGTCACAGTGAGGCGTGTGGTCATAGTGAGGCGTGTGGTCATGTTGAGGCATGTGGTCATAGTGAGGCGTGTGGTCATGTTGAGGCGTGTGGTCATAGTGAGGCGTGTGGTGAGGCGTGTGGTCATGTTGAGGCGTAGGCGTGTGGTCATAGTGAGGCGTGTGGTAATGTTGAGGCGTGTGGTCATGTTGAGGCGTAGGCGTGTGGTCATAGTGAGGCGTGTGGTCATGTTGAGGCATGTGGTCATGTTGAGGCATGTGGCCATAGTGAGGCGTGTGGTCATGTTGAGGCGTGTGGTCATGTTGAGGCGTAGGCGTGTGGTCATAGTGAGGCGTGTGGTCATGTTGAGACATGTGATTGAGGCATGTGGTCATAGTGAGGCATGTGGTCATAGTGAGGCATGTGGTCATGGTGAGGCATGTGGTCATAGTGAGGCGTGTGGTCATGTTGCGGCGTGTAGTCATAGTGAGGCGTGTGGTCATAGTGAGGCGTGTGGTGAGGCGTGTGGTCATGTTGAGGCGTAGGCGTGTGGTCATAGTGAGGCGTGTGGTAATGTTGAGGCGTGTGGTCATGTTGAGGCATGTGGTCATGTTGAGGCATGTGGTCATGTTGAGGCATGTGGTCATAGTGAGGCGTGTGGTCATGTTGAGGCGTGTGGTCATGTTGAGGCATGTGGTCATAGTGAGGCGTGTGGTCATAGTGAGGCATGTGGTCATGTTGAGGCGTGTGGTCATAGTGAGGCATGTGGTCATGTTGAGGCGTGTGGTCATAGTGAGGCATGTGGTCATAGTGAGGCGTGTGGTCATAGTGAGGCATGTGGTCATAGTGAGGCGTGTGGTCATGGTGAGGCATGTGGTCATAGTGAGGCGTGTGGTCATAGTGAGGTGTATGGTCATAGTGAGGCGTGTGGTCATGGTCATAGTGAGGCGTGTGGTCATAGTGAGGTGTGTGGTCATAGTGAAGTGTGTGGTCATGTTGAGGCGTGTGGTCATAGTGAGGCGTGTGGTCATAGTGATAGTGAGGCGTGTGGTCATAGTGAGGCGTGTGGTCATAGTGAAGTGTGTGGTCATGTTGAGGCGTGTGGTCATAGTGAGGCGTGTGGTCATAGTGATAGTGAGGCGTGTGGTCATAGTGAGGCGTGTGGTCATAGTGATAGTGAGGCGTGTGGTCATAGTGAGGCAGTCTACCCATTTGAACTTCTGCCTAAGCTTCATTATTACCACACGGCTCACTATTTCTCTACTTTGGATTAGAGCAGAGAAAATGGTCCAAACCAAGCGGCTACTCCACCTCTGCTGCTGTGACCTGAACAGCCGTTGCTTATTATTACTATTGTTAGCTTTATAGAATTAGCAATGTATCTGTTTTGTTTGTTAAAATGGACAGTAGCTCCCACCCTGCTGTTGTCGTGTCCTTAGGCAAGACACTTAACCCCACATTTCCTGAAGCTCCCGCTGAAACACCAAGGCTGTGGCACCTCTGATGTAGCAGCCATCTTCCTTCACCCCCTGCAGAAGATCAGAGGGACTGGTGCTTTGAGCATTGGGTGGCAGCTCTCACTGCCACGCCCCCGACCCAGAAATGGACTAATAAAGGGGAAGAAAATGAATGAATGAATGAATGTTTGGATGGATGTGTTTTTGCTGCTACTGGACAACTGCATTTCTCGGATCAATACGGTTTCCATCTATCTATCTATTACCACACACCTCACTATTAGCACATGTCCGCAGCCTCCAATCTCGGCTTTCAGTCACCTGCTGCAAGTTTGTAATTTAACGAGAGTTCAGGCCATAAAACACACAGGATGATGAGTAAAACGGCTCAGGCACAGTTTTATGGACAGTGCACCAGTTCACCTGGAGTCTTTAGAGTAACTGCCAAGTGCTGGTAATGATTAACAGGACCATTGTGCGAGGCGAGAGGGAGGAAGTTAGACACACACAACACTGACACACACTTTCTGTACGCACTAGTTTGGTACATACAACAGTAGACAAAGGCCTGCTATTGCTACATGAGAACACAGATTTGGAAATGAGCCATGAAACTACTCAGTGTTAATGACGAAGGGAATGTTTGTCCCGACACAGTGAGAGGCTGAGGACAGAGAACACTGCAGCTGCTTCAAAGCTTTATAGGAATAGGCCACCGTTTTTCCATACTGACATATGTTCTTACCTTACCTTAGACTAGTTGATATGTACCTGTGTGATCTTTGTCCGTGTGCTCTGTCATGCAAACGGAGCACAAACACAGCCTCTTCCACATTCTGTATAGTACCAAATCAGCTCCCGTTAGAAGCTACCAAACTCTTCCTACTTGTTCCCTATTTAAATACAGTTACGTGACGTGTTACTCTACAAAGTAAAGTAACACAGAAATGTCGATTTTCTCAGCGGATAAAAAGGGGTACTACATTGTGAGGCGTAATAATACGAGGAGCGCTATGTCTGCGCACTAACACCAACAAGTCACGCTGCTTCTATTGACGGAAGTGAGCGTGAGTGAAGTCTTTGGGTGTTAGTGCGCGGACGTAGCGCTCCTCGTATTATTACGCCTCACAATATAGTTCCCCTTTTTATCCCCTGAGAAAATGGACATGTTACATTTCTGTGTTACTATACTTTGTAGAGTAACACTTCACGTAACTGTATTTAAATAGGGAACAAGTAGGAAGAGTTTGGTAGCTTCTAACGGGAGCTGATTTGGTACTATGCAGTCTGTGGAAGAGGCTGCGTTTGTGCTCCGTTTGCATGACAGAGCACACGGACAAAGATCACACAGGTACATATCAACTAAGGTAAGAACATGTGTCAGTATGTAAACACGGAGGCCTGTTCCTTTAATACGACTCCATGTGTTTAGCTGCAAAGTCCAACCCTAACGCTTTTCTCCATCATACTGTATGGAGAAAAGCGTGATACTGTTTAATAGGAGCGGACGATATGGCCTAAAATTCATATTGCGGTATAATTTGGGTCACAGACGGTAAACGGTATATATTGCGGTATTATTTTGGTGTATGAATTTCAATAGTCAACATTTTTACTTATTTATATAATAGAATCTAATACATATATTTTTTTGAGTTTGAAAATCAGGTGTGTCCAGTCTCTACAAACAAAATCACCACCATTTCATCTAGTAGTTAATACATTTTTAGCATTTGACATTATTCCATATTAAAGAGACACCATGCTTTTGAGATGCTTTCTCCCGGCAACACAGCCTGCGCTAGCTTTAACCAATCAGCGGCGGGTTAACCTCCGTTGGGCCCCGTGCGATTTGATGACATAATGACCTATCGCATGCCGGTATGACAAAAATCTCTATTGTTGGCCAAATTTGTATCGCATACCGCTTATACCGTTTTTATCCACCAGCCCTACTGGTTAAACATTTATGCTCCACAACTTAGCAATCTCTATGGACATTGATGGACGAGCACCAACACCAACTGACTCTATCTGCTTTGGATAATGATCGATGATAATGGTCAAGTTGATCAAGTGATTTTGAACTGCGCATTCACACAGGAGGAGCTTGGAGTAGAGTTGCTGCTCCTCATATAGAGGAATCAGCTGAGGTGACTCTGGCATCTGTTTTGGATTCGGGCCCATGTGTCTCAGCTGAACCGGTCTGAACGTCTGGGCTCAACACCACAGCAGACGAGGACATGACTATCACTGGGTGTTTTTAGTTGTTCATTACCGAAGCAGAAGGTCTGAGGAGAGAGGTGCTGATCCAGGACATTTAGAGACATTTATGGACATTTATTAACATTTACGGACATTGGTCTCTGCCCCTTATGGACCACAGGCTCTATGCATTATTTATCATCGCATTTCTTGTTTGAACTGTCTGATTCTCTGATCTGCGTTGGTGAATCAACAACTTTGTTAAGTCCTCCGAGATAACTGCTGTTGTGATTTAGGGCGATACACAGCTAAATTGAATTGAATTATTAGGGCGGCACAGTGGGGCAGTGGTTAACGCTTGTGTTCCACCGCAAGAAGTCCCAGGGTTCAATTCCACCTCCACACAGGGTCTTTCTGTGTGGAGTTCTTCCTGTGTCTTTGTAGGTTTCCTCCAGAGCCTTGGGAATTATTTTTTGACTTTTTGGGCTGAGAGTGGATTATCTGAGCCAATCTAAACTTTAGCATAAAAAAGAGACAAGTATAAAATCTTGATTAAGGACCACGCGACACGCGACAGAGCACCAAACACCATCTCCGGATACTGGCATGTGCGCGTTTTTGTGTGTGTGTGTGTGTGTCCCGTGTGTGTGTGTCCCGTGTGTGTGTATCCCGTGTGTGTGTTTGTGCGCTGCAGTGTCCACTCCACTGGGCATCTCAGCTGGACAAACATCCTGTCTGTGACAAAGTAACCACAGAGTCATTCAGCTCAGTGGCAGATCAAACATGGAGCTCACTTTGTGTTTGCACCGACCCACAATCCCTGAGAGACGCAACAATCACATGCATCTGTGCAATAATCTCAATCATGTCAGAAAGTGCAATATAGAGCAATATAGAACCTCATGTGTCGCTGCCACTTTACTGAGTCACTTTGCCCCAGAGCCTCATGCTGCTAATGTACAGACGTGAACATGCTATTATATATTTCATACACTACAGCATACAGTATACAGAAAAACGTATTTATTTATTATGCTAAAGCTAGAGATTTTATACTAGCTTCTTTATTATGCTAAAGCTAAAGATTTTATACTAGCTTCTTTATTATGCTAAAGTCATAGATTTTATACTAGCTTCTTTATTATGCTAAAGCCATAGATTTTATACTAGCTTCTTTATTATGCTAAAGCTAGAGATGTTATACTAGCTTCTATATTATGCTAAAGCTAGAGATGTTATACTAGCTTCTTTATTTATCTTGTGCTGTGTCTGTCCTGTTGCTGCTGATGCAACACAGAAATTTCCCCACTGTGGTACCAATAAAGGATGTCTTCATCACATCATTGCTCTCACAGGTCACATACAAACAGTCACATACTATAAAGACCTGCGTTGTTTGTTTAGGACCGGACATGTTCTGGACCTGTGTTAGGGCTGAAACAACTAATCGATTAATCGACGACTAATCGATTATTGAAATAGTCAACAACTATTTTAGTAATCGATTAATCGTTTTCTGGTTCACACGGACTCAAACAGAGCAAAAATGACATGAAAATGTAGTATTTTTGATTAAAACCGACTTTGTTTTTATAATTTCATGAATATCTGTCTGTCTCATCCAATCAGAGCAGGATTAGGAAAAGAGCCTGTTACAAACATTTACTTTAAGTTTACGCCATCAATACGTCCTCGAGTGTTGCCACTTTAGCTTTTTGTGATGAAAAAATAATTTTTTTGTACACAATTCAGAGCCAAGCGATTACTCGATTAATCGTAAAAATAATCGATAGATTAATTGATTACAAAATAATCGTTAGTTGCAGCTCTAGCCTGTGTCATACAACAGTCTATAGAAATCTGGACTCGGTCGTAAAACGTGTCTGAGGCAGAGCTGGCGTTCCGGGTTTTCACTCCCACTTTTCAGTCATCGGGACAAAAGCGCAGCAGGTGTCCGTGAGTGTTTGTGTTTCCTAAAATAACTACAGGACAAGGGTTATTGATTAGTGCCGCTTGTGACTCACGGCAACAGTCCGGTCCTGGCAGCAGTGGGTTTAAAGCTGGGGAACCTACATTTCAAAACGCACAAAAAATGTACTAGAAAAGGCGGATATAAAGCTTCCAATAGTGACTCAGAAGGCTCTTTTGTTTTCTAAAATTAGACAGTATAAGACAGTATTTTATGGTCTGATTTGTTCACCACATTTTACTTTTACGAGACACAATGTATTGTTTATGAAGAAAAGGATAGGTACCACAGTATTATGTGTGCAGTCTGACCATGACAAATCCAGATAGAAAGTAAGAATTGTGAGTTAACATTAATTATAAACTAAATGGAGACGGCGGAAAAGTTCAAACCAGACTCAACTTCGTGCGCACTGAAGGGAACCAGTCAATGATTGTCAGATTTCAGTTATTACAGACAAAGAAGCTCCAGGACCAGTCAGAGGAGACGCACAAGATGTTTTTCTATTGCTTTAAAAAATATACTATTAAAATATTACGTAGTGGAGGCTTGAATTATTTGA